CAAGGCCTCCCATGTCTCTGCTAATGGATCTCGCTTGGATTGCCCCCTCACTGCACTTCCAGGGCTAGACCTCCTCTCAGAAGCTGCCAGCTGGGTGGTGGCTTCTATCTGAGAGCAGGCGACGCATTGCTCTGTACCAGCAGCCTGCACCACGAAGCCCTGAGAACCTCTTTCCAAATTTGAACCCCCATCTCCAAAAAGGAAAAGCTGGTCCATTAACCTGTAGTGCCATGAAGTTCTCACAAATTTACATTTTTATCTTTTAACAAGTTGCTGTGTTTGAGATTAACATTTTGGATTACAGCACGGTCCATCTCTAGGCTCACATTACGCTCTACAAAACCTCAGTGGCCAGGCCTACCCCACCCCAAGGCGATTCCTTTCGCACCTGGTGAACACAGCTTTCTCATTCTTAGCATCCATGGTCAGTTTGATGGTTTCCTGGCCTGACCCCGTACTGATGGTTTCGGTAACGATGTCAGTCTTGTCCTCATCCTCCTCGCTGTCGGAGCCTCCAGAGGAGCTGCTGTCCGAGGCCACGAGAGGTGCCTTCCTTGTCACACAGACGTTCCAAACACAGGGTGACGTAGTGCTAACTGCAAAGAGAGAGCAAATCATTCACAGGACAAACCGAGCAGAGGCACCAGGAAGACTTCTACAGCCCCCAGATACAACCGGAACATTTTCAGCAACAGAAACCAGAAGGCGACTTACCTTTCACTAACTGCGCTTTTCAAGAGGATGACGTGAATTTGGATCTCACAGTAGGCAAGCATGAGCTTCACATGGGCACGACTGGATTTTTTTTTTAAAGAGCAGTATCTGTTGGGACCACCCATGGCTTGTGCCGCCTCATGCTCACATGTGCGGGCCCAAAGAACAGAACAGCCACTGCCTTGCTTCACTTCCTTGAGCATTCAAAAGCCAGGCAAGTGGGAACTCAGACAGGCATCCACACACGTCACAGGATCTACACCATCTCAAAGAACCACAGTTCCTGGAGAGTAAGTAACCTTTTATGTTCAAATAGGCAAAGTGGATCCCCGCTGCAGGTGACTAGCAAGCAGCAGCATCTTGGAAGTATGTGCACAAGGGACTTCAGTAACATCAAAGCCGATCGTAGGACCACTCTCCTCAATTTAGCATCTTGTCTAGCAGATAAGCCCAGTGCATAATGCTTGGCAAGAGGCAGTGGACTACTCCATGTCACCAGCTTACTGGCCTCAAAAACAGGTCTCTCTCTGAAGGAGTCCTTGGACACTGCTGGAGCACAGCTGGCTCATTTGGAGAGCTCCATCAGACAACTAGTGACACAGGAAGACACGCAGTGTCATCCCTTTCATTACTCTCAGTGAAGAGATGGTCTGACCTTTAGAGGAGCTGACTAAGTACAGACAGAGACACTGTCTGATGTATTATGTAGACAGGACCATTCAAGGTCCGGGATACTTCAGATGCCTTTAATTTCTTTTCCCTCTATGCAGTGTGGCTCTGGGAAGATGCTGATCAACTGGGATAAAATTATCACAATGAACTTGGAGGGGGGTATACAGCATCAGCTTGCCCCGTCGCATGAGAATTCGGGGAGGCGGCCATCAGTAAAGCGCTGAAGTTCACTCGCTCTCGTGCCTGGAGGTGACAGCCACTAGAAAGCCCACATGGACAACACAAAAAGATGGAGGCTCGAGTCATGTGTCCCTGGACATGAGCATCTTAATGGAGGCAGTCTTGTGAACAGAGAACTTACCCAAGACATGGGTCTTTCCTAGGCAGGAGAAACACTTGCTGTGCCCATAACAGAATGGGCACAGTTTTGACTTCACCATGACACTGCTGCAATCCACCCAGACCCATGTTACAGTAGGGATGTGAATTCTCTTTCTTTATGTTTTAGTTTTTGGAACAACCTTTATATGAAAAGTGTAAAAATGCAATACTTAGTGGGCTAAATGAACTGGCCTAAGGTCGCTGAAGAAAGCAACGGGTTACCCATTTGCTGAGTTACCATTTGCTAACACAGGCAGGTAAAGGGCACTGAGGGAGCATCACAGACACTCCACCCTTTATCCCCTCACATGGGAGCACAAGGTGACCAAGGACAAACGCACAGATACAAACACTGTGATAAAAAAAAGAATCCAAAGCTCATGCACATAAACACCTACGGTGGAATCCACGCTGACACACGCTTCAAGAAATCTGTCATCTGCACTAGGTAATTAAAGACTGTGCTACTGCAGGGCCAGAAAAAAGTGTGGGCTGGAAATAAGCTACATTAGGAGCCCACCCCAGCTTTTATAACTACATTTAATATTCACCATCTGCTGCCTGTGACACAATTTTAGAGACAAATTTCAATGCTTTTCTGTGCTACCAATTCCTCAAATTCTGCTCTGATCTAAGACTGGGCAAAAATGCAAACTGAAACGATGGGGTTTATTAACATTTTGAGGATTTGGTTAGCTATCAGTGGGCATACTGACACGTGCTATTAAGGTGAAATTATAAACTCTAGTACATATTGCACAGGAGCTTATTGCTCCCAGGTGCCATATTTATGCGCGTGCCTGGGACCGTAGCACCTTTAGCCAGGTTGGAGCAGCCCTGGCTGGCTGGGAGCACGGGGGATGAGCCTGCCAGCCCAAGGCTGCTCTGACCCAGCTCAGTGTGCTGTGGAGGAGCTGGCTGGGGCGCAAGGGTGCTTTAGTGTGGGGCTAGCTGGCAGGGAGCCCTCGCACTGAACTACCGTTGTGTACTTACAGGTATTACCCTGCACCTGAGTTAATTAGTTTAGGCCGTCCTAATAGCGCCACACATGTAGATGGTGATGTTTTACTGCAGAGCTAATTAGGCAGTTCTGCAGTAAACGCATCGTGTAGATGCACCCAGTGAGAGCAGACCACCTACAAGTCAAAGAGGTTTCTCTATATCCAGGGTGTCAAATATATGGCCCATGGACTGGATTTGAGAGGCACTGCAGCCCAGATCTGGAGCTGGACCATCGGTACCAGATGCTGGCTGCTAGCAGGGGATACAGCCTGCCAGCACATCCGAGTTTGACACTGCTGCTCTCTATTAACCAGAGAACCACATTTTTCAACTAGCAATGGGTGAAGCACACCAAAAAAGCAGAAAACTCTCACCAGATTTCTGGTACTTCCTGGCTTTTGCCTATCAGAAATCTATCAGGATCACTTCTCTTTCAACTGCCTGACACTGTTACTACTGAGCATCCCCAAAAAATCAAACAGCACAGAGAAGCGCAAGCACCCTGAGAAATGAACCCCGGGCAGAAGCACCATTTAACAGGATTCTTGAATTCAGTCACAGTCAAGCTACTTGACAGATCTGTTTTGACACCTATGTGAGGCAAGACTGGAGGGGAACTTTACCCATGAAACCTGGGATATCTGGCAGTACTCAAAAAGATTAGAACAACAAATTAATCCCTCCATGTTTCATAATATCCCCACTTACAGGTCTTGTCCTGACTTTGCTTGGGGTTTCCCTCTGAGTCGCTGCTTTCTGTGTCCACAGGAGAACTACATCGTGGACCTGATTCTGAGCTGGAAGACAAAAGAACTTGCAAATGAACTCCATCTGCCATGGTCCTGCTCCCTAGAGCTCCCTCTCGGAAGTCATTAAGAGTCCCTGCACAATCTCCCACGAATATCTATAGACTTATTACTTACATTAGGGTGACAGCCCTGCAATAATAACAGTGCTGCACTATCACTCTAGCACAGTGGTTTTCAAACTTTTTTCATTTGTGAACCCCTAAAAAATTTCAAAGGGAGGCATGGATGCCTTTGAATTGTAAACATGTGTATTTATATACTTTTGATGGAGCATATCTTTCATGGACCCTTTAGACATAGGTTGTGGACCACAAGTTGAAAATCACTGCTCTAGCAGGTGGCTGCCCACAAACTCATCAGGGGAGATCAACAGCAAACAGGAAGAGCCCTTTTCTCCCCAGCAACACCTGGGGTGATAAGGAACAATGGTAATAAGCTGATGGAGAATAGGTTTAGGTTAGAGATCAGGAGGCAATATTTTACAGTTAGGGTGGCCAAAATCTGGAACCAACTTCCCAGGGAAGTGGTCCTCGCCCCTACCTTAGGCAAATTCAAGAGGGGGTTGGATGATCACCTATCTGGGGTCTTGTGAACCCAGCATTCATTCCTGCCTGTGGCAGGGGGTCAGGCTAGATGATCTGTTCAGGTCCCTCCTGAGCCTAGCTACTATGAAACTATGAGACATGGCCACCAGATATCAGTCAATATAAGCATAAGGTGGGATGAGTGCCCAAATGCAGATGGACAATATTAAAAAGGGGAAAAAAAGGGAAGATTCAAGGTCAGACTCCTCCCTTGCTGTTTCATCCCTCCAACCCACCCCCAGTCCAAACATTTCTTCACGCAGAAGCTCTAGAAAAGGTGATGCCGTCTATGCTTCATTTACCAACAAAAAGGTTGAAAGTCTGTAAACTTTGCCCATCCTTTCTCCTCAGGAGTGGTGGTCTCTGGTGCTGCTGAATCCCACACGCTTGATCCAACATCCATGGCCACGCAAGGTGCTGGGGGTTTTGAATTCACTGGCTCGAACACGGCTGTCCATCCTGAGCCTGAAGGCACGGACAGAGATAGAGAGAGAGAGAGACAGAGAGAGGGATTCTTGAGGATTCTCAGGAATTGCATGCTTTCCCAAACCAAGCCAAAGGAGAGGGAATTCCCAGAGTTAGGAACAAAGACGATCCTTCCACGTAATCAATGGGAGAATTACCTATTGAAAATTGGCTGACTGGCCCAAAAGAAATCTCATGAGATTCAATAAGGACAAGTGCAAAGTCCTTCACTTAGAAGGGAGCTGACTAGCTAAGCGGCAGCTTTGCAGAAAAGGACCTGGGGGTGACAGGGGACAAGAAGCTGAACAGGAGCCAGCAGTGTAGCCTTATTGCCAAGAAGGCTAACGCCATCCTGGGCTGCATTGGTAGAAGCATTGCCAGAAGACTGAGGGAGGTGATTCTTTCCCTCTATTCAGCACTGGGGAGGCCACATCTGGAGTCCTGTGTCCAGTTGTGGGTCCCCCATGACAGAAATGATGTGGACACATTGGACAGTCCAGTGGAGGGCAATGAAAATGGCTGGGAGAAAGGACTGGTGAGGAGAGGCTGAGGGAACTGGACTGATTCAGTCTGCAGAAGAGATGACTGGGGGGAGATTTGATAAGTAGCCTTCAGCTCCCTGCAGGGGGGTTGCAAAGAGGATGGAGCTGGACTGTCTTGGTGGGGGCAGATGACAGGACAAAGAGCAAAGGGCTCAAGTCGCATCAAGGGAAATTTAGGTTGGATATTAGGGAAAACTCTCTCACGAGGACGGTGGTGAGGCACTGGAACAGGTTACCCAGGGGGGTGGTGGAGTCCCCATCCTTGGAGGTTCTGAAGACCAGGGTAGTTGGGATGATCTAGTTGGGAATGGTCCTGCTTTGAGCAGGGGGTTGAACTAGATGTGACCCCCTGAGGTACCTCCCAACCTTCATTTTCTACAATTACCTACAATTTGCACATAAAGTGACAGCTATCTTTCCAGAGGGATGTGCTCATTAAGCAAGATGACTTTATATGCTTCCATAACTGCAAAGCACTAGCTATAGTCAGGCACCGTGCTGCTAGTGTGTGTTGAGCAATTCTGTCTAGGTACTAATAGAGCCCTCATCAGGTTTAGCAGCAAGGCACACGTGAAAGAACTGGTGAGCATGATGAAGTGTCCAAGGTCGCCCAGGTGGTTAACAGCAATCAGGAACAGAATTTAGCTCCCCCGAGTCCCAGTCCATTGCACTGTTCACTGGACCATCTCTCAGTCCACAAAGGCTCCTAAGGTCCTGCCAGGGATTTCCTTCCTGAGCTGAAATGGTGTAGCTCTCTTGAGAAGAGGAGATCTGCTGTGGCAAACTGATGAATGGTCTGTGCTGCTCAGAGTCTGCAGGAGATCCCACACCCCTATCATGGATTGCACCAATGCTTGAAGGACAGTTGCGCCAACGTGCAGCCACCGTTAGCCGTCAAACTGCCTTCAACATAAATAGTCATTGTTACCCTGGTCTGGGCATAGGAGCCCATTTTTTGTTATGAGACATTCTCTATGTGTGTCACAGAAACAGTAGGGAATGGCACAGGAACATGCTGCTAGCCTTGGCCATTTTTAATAGGCTGGATAAAGCTACAGAAGTCCAGCAAAACAGCAGGCCTGAGGCAGCTTTAAAACTCCCAGGAACTGCAGTGGGAATCCTGTAGGTGTTACTGATGCCACGCTGACTGGCTGTTTCAACTGAGCAACCTGCCTGGTTAAGCAACCACACAAATCTGCAAGTTTAGGTTCAACAGGAGAGGCCTGGCAGCAGGCAGCACATGGGAAGGCCTTGAGATAACTAAACCTTGATATCATCATTTTAGTTTGAGAATATCAGCAGCGACTGATTTAACCAAATGCACCAGGTGCAGCTGCTCTACAATCAGTATGCCCTTATTGCATTTTTAAACTGGTGGTAAAAAGCAGCCTACATCAGTGTGGGGGAGAGAAGATGGCAACAGGCAACCTTTCAAGATGGTGAAAAAAACAGATAAGCAATCCTCCCTTCCAAGAACTGTAATTTTCACAATCCCAGTTGACTGAAACCTTCCAGAGCCATGGAAGAACTTGTGCAGCCTGGTTCCCAAAGTCCCAGTAAAACAAAGGGATATTAGTCTAGCTAATTGGAAGACATTAGTTAGAGTTAAGAGTATGCATACATGGGTGAGAAGGCAGGGAATTGCACTGAAAGGCACTCCTGCTGGCACAGACCCATGACTCCAGAATCCCTGCATCAACCCTGGCCCACGTCTCTACTCAGCTGTAAAGGGAAAATCAAAAGACACTGAGATAGCTGTTTATTTTTCTACTTGGGGCATAAATAATAAAAATAAATAATAAAAAGTTCAGGCTATAGACCAGTCTCTTGCCTTATTTATTTTGTGGCTACACTGCCCCTGTAATCCAGGTAACAAAGGCTATCAACAGGAGGTAGATCTGCTCGATGCCTCTCAGTTGTTGTGTAGGGATAACATCTCCAAGATAACTTTTGTACCTACTCTGGTTACAAGTAACACCAAAGAACACATGGTTTTGGAGAACGAAGCTTGTCTTGCTTTACTTAATTCTGGACAGCTGAAAGTTCAAAGAGCACAGTCATTTGCACTTTCTGCCTCAACCGCTCCCATAGGGTCACCTGTCTACATTGCTCTGGGGAAACTTGCTGCCTGCCTGCTCTCTCCAGGCTGCAAGAATGGCTTTACAACAAGCTAAGCTGAACTTGAAGCACTGCAGCTAGCTGTGACAACATTGTGCCTGAAGATGCTTAGCAGTGCTCTTCAGAAAGCCTTGAAGAGCAACACATCAGTGGTTAGTGCTTACCCAATATTGTTTCCTCACCCAGGAAATTATGCAAGAGGCAAAGATTTCTTCGGGTGGTATCTTTTATTGGACCAACTATGTAGCTGGGATAAAGTTATAGACAAGCCTCTGAGTGCAGCACCTTCTTCAAGACCTGATGAAAGTCCCAACAACACAGTTAGTCCAATAAAGGGCACCACCTGAAGAAATCCTTGCCTCTTGCTCTGGTTTTTAAGAAAGCACATAATGGCTCAGGGGCTGAGGCACATGACTTGTGAGGATACTCTGAAAGAACTGGGCTTATTTAGGGTGGAGAAGAGAAGACCGAGGGGGGGCTGAATAGCAGCCTTCAACTCCCTGCAGGGGGGGCTGCAAAGAGGAGGGAGCTGAACTGTTCCCAGTGGGGGCAGATGACAGGACAAGGAGCAATGGACACCAGTTGCAGCAAGGGAAGCTGAGGTTGGATATCAGGGAAAACTCTCACGAGAAGGGTAGCAATACACTGGAAGGTGTATTCCAGTGAAGGTGTATTCCACAGAGAGGTGGTGGAGTCTCCATCCTTGGAGGTTTTGAAGACCTGGGTAGACAAAGCCCTGGCTGGCATAATCTAGTTGGGGATGGTCCTGCTTGGAGCAGGGGGTTAGACTAGATGTGACCTCCTCAGGTCCCTTCCAGCCCTCGTTGTCTGTGCTTCTACTGCACCCTGTCTAGCAGCCTCAGTGTAACATGGCAATCCGTTTGTTTCCCTGTATGTGGAGAATCCAGTCTCTCAAATACGCAAGACAGGAACATGCAGACTGAAATTCAGAATGGACATTCATTTTTCATCTACAGAGCCTGCATGAGAGGGTAGTCATGACAGAAGAGTGGTTCACAGGCTCTACATACTCCCAGGAGGCATCTCTCTAGGAAATACTGCCCAAGCCGATTTGGAGAGTTAAATTAAGGCACCCAAAGCCCTCACCTTCAGAGGAGTCTGTGCTCTTCTGCTCAGAAGCATTACTTTTGTTGGCGTTCACTGTAGGAGGTGAGGTTTGTTCTTCTGCTTCCTCCTCCTCTTCCGAGTCCACACTGCCATCGTGGTCCCCATTCTCTAGATCACTTTTTGAAGAACTCTCTGAGGTCTGAGAGACTCCAAACCTACAGAATGCAGAAATCACAGTTAGAAAAACCTACTGAACCAGTGGTGCTCAACTTCTTGCCCAAGAGCCATAACAGGCCATGGTGTTCCATCCCAGCCCTACATGGCCAGATCTGGCTATGGCACTCCGTGCCAGCCCCACATGACCAATCTAGTATGCAAGGCCACACTTTCCAGGCCACAGGGCTCCCCATGGGTCTAGAAATCTGGCAGCAGGGAAGCAGTCACCACTCCCCTGCTGTTAAATTTTGGACCCATGGGGAGCCCCTGAGGCTGGATGACATGGTTCCAGGGGCTGAATCTAGCCCATAGAGCGGGGCTGAGCACCCATGTCGACCAGAAGGGGGAAGAAAGTGGCAGTGTAAGTCTGTTCCCTACCAAGTACCTTTCAGTGCTTTGAGTCATATCATTTTTGATGTGCTAGGGGGACCAAGCTTCCTACACTCCCTCAGAAAATTGGTGCAGTCTCTTACTAAAAGTTCTGCTTGCCTTCAGCCCATGTTTCTGTTTCACACCTTCATCCTATCGCTTGCGTTTATTTTCCCCACACAATCCTTAAGAATCCCCTACACAAATTTGTCCTTAGCCATCACTAAGTGGACAATACAACAGTACTCAGTCATTCGTCACAAGTTATTCAGTCACTATAGTGCCTGTGTGTATAGAGCCCATGTGTGCAGAGCCCTTCACAGGCAAATAAAGACCCCGGTCTCTCTAAGCAATGCACAATCTAAATTCCATTCAAAACAGCTAAAGCAGTACACTCAAATACAGAAGCTGGGGAAGGAGCTGGACTTTAAGATGACAACAGAAAGAATACAGCAGCCAAGCAAGAACAGACTCTTGGTGGGATCTCACCACACACTGTACTACATTTGATTTTTGCATTTTCCTCCTTTATACCACTTCATCACAGCTTCCCTATCTTCAAAGCAGGGAAATATGCCTGGGGTACATAGGCAATGTGTGTACAGTGCCTTGAGGATATAAAGTGAGCTGACTTCAATGAGCTTAGGAAAATAGTGGGAGAGACCCTATGGGAAGAGAGACTGGAGGAGAAGGGAGTTCAGGAAAGGTGGTCATTCCTCAAAGAAGTGATCCTCAGAGCACAGAAATGGTCCATTCCTGTAGGCAGGAAAGGTCGTAAAGGGGCCAGAAAACCCTCTTGGCTTACCACAGGAGTCAAGGAGTGCTTAAAAAAAAATAAAGGAGGCTTACGGACAGTGGAAACAAGGGGTGGTCACCAAGAAGGAATACACAAGTATAGCTTGTATTAGTAGGGAGAGGATAAGGAAGGCAAGGGCAGCAACTAAGATCAGGTTGGCAACTGAAATCAAAGACAATAAGAAGTCCTTCTTTGGGTATACAGGGAGCAGGAGGAAGACCAAGGGAAGTGTGGGGCTCTGGCAGAATGGGACAGAACAGCTGAAAACAGACAGTCAGGAGAAAGCTGAACTCTTTCATGAATACTTTGCATCGGTGTTCCTGCATACAAATGGTGGTTGCCTGCCTGGTCGGATGCTGTGAGAGACTGGCAGAAGGCATGATGCTGAAGGATAACCAACATGGTTTTGTTGTGGGCAAGTCATGTCTGACCAACCTTGTCTCCTTTTATGATCAAGTCACGAACCACTCAGATGTGGGAGACGTGGGTGATGTCATATACTTGGATTTAAAAAGGGCTTTGACATGGTCTCCCACGTTGCTCTTACAAAACAACTGGGGGATTAAGGGCTGGCAGAGTCCATGGCCAGGTGGGTTGGGAACTGGCTGAGGGGTCGAACCCAGACAGTGTTAGTGAACGGGTCTGTATCATCTTGGCGGGAAGTAGCCAGTGGTGTCCCACAGGTTCGGTTCTTGGCCCTGAGCTGTTCAACATCCTTATCAAAGATTTAGATGAGGATGTGGAAAGCACGCTAGTCAAGTCTGTGGATGATACTTAGTTATGGGGAAAAGTGGTAATGCTGAAGGATAGGATGTGGATCCAAGTGGACCTAGACAAGCTGGAAAGGTGGGTGAAGCAGAACTGGGGACAGTTCAATAAAGATAAGGGCACCCCTGGGGAGGACAAAGAGCAATGGCCAGGAACTGTTAGAGGATGGTTTCAAGTTGAAGAACTTCTTTATGGTGAGGGTGACCAGAATCTGGAATAGACTTCCAGGGAGGTGATGCAGTCCCCAACCTTGGAAGTCTTCAAGAGGAGACTGGACAGACACCTTCCTGGGATCATTTGATCTCAGCAGCAGTCCTGCCCAGAGCAGGACGGATGGATTTGATGATCTTTCGGGGTCCCTTCCAGCCCTTAACGTATATGAGTCTATGAAAATACTATATGTGCAAATGTTGTTTCATATTTCAGTTTCCACATACCAGTATTGGGCATATGGTGAGCAAAAAATGTATATTCCCATATTACAGAATCATAGAAAATGAGAGTTGGCAGGGACCTCAGGAGGTCACATCTAGTCCAATCCCCTGCTCAAAGCAGGACCAGCCCCAGACCCAGCTACATCTTCCCAGCCAAGGCTTTGTTCAGCCAAGTCTTAAAAACCTCCAAGGATGGAGACTCCACCACCATTCTAGATAACCCATTGCAGTGCTTCACCACCCTCCTCATGAGAAAGTGTTCAAACTAAACTTCCTTTCCACTAACATCAGCAACTCACTACTGATGCATAAAATAATTTTTAAAAATATTAGACTTCTGGCAAAAGACAAGTTGAATCTCGGGAAATGTACTGGTTATTTATGAGCACACAGAGGACACAAAGAAGTTTTTACACATCAGGTTAAAACAGTAAACTGTACAACACACCATTTTGGTTAACTGCATTTCTGATACTGCAACAACTGAAAAAGCACGGTGAACAATTAGCACATACTAACGAGAAACAAGCATGTGAATAAATGAGCAACAAGAGTGAACATGTCTAAGGGCAAAAGGTTGATTTGTACAGTTAATCTTTACCGTGGAACAGAGACCGCCCCGTCTATTTCTGAACACACTTACTGGCTGATTTTAGACTGGGCACCATCAATTTGCACTGAAGGACACCATTTCTCACAGGCACAGCGGATGGACACAAAGGGTCAATGAGGATTTTTTCGCACGAATCCCATGCAGACAGAAGTGCTGGACTGACCATGTGGAGACTGAAGCCTTTTCATGGTATTTATTCCCAAAACAAATACAATGCACAGGCAACGGGAAGCCAAAAATCCCCATATAGACCCAGTACATCAAGGGTGGGCAATTATTTCAGGTGGAGGGCTGCTTAATGAGGTTTGCTGAGCTTTCGAGGGCTCCATGCATAGACCTGCCCCTTGATAGTTGCTCCGCCCCCTGCTCACCATCTTGGCCCACCCCTAACCCCTGACTGTCGTCACCTGAAGTCCCTCCCCTTGCCTCCGGAAATACTCCTTTTGGGACGGAGGGTTTCCATCCTAGAACCAAAAACCCCCCAAAACATACACTAAAATCAAACACCTACTATAACATATTTTAATTTTATTACAAAAAATATTTTTGTCATGATTTGTGTTTGCGTCATGTGTACAGAGGAGATTGCAAAATAACTCAAAAATAAAGTCTAGGCTTGTATATGGTGCGTGTGGGGGGTGTATGGTGCAGTGTGGGGGTCCATGAGTGGGTATCACTATGTATGTGAGGAGTTGTGGGGGATGGGTGTGGGGCATTTGCGCAGCGTGAGAGAGGGTCAGCTTCCCCACCCCCAACCACTTCCCTACCTGCTGCCTGGAGTGAGCAGGTCCCCGGTAGCTGCAATGGCCAGGCCCTTCTGCCCATGAGGATAGGAGCAAGGTACAATCAAGTATTTTGGGGGCACGTGTATACATGGGCACCTTGTTCCCACACTCGTGGGTGGGAGGGCTGGACAGGTACAATTCGTTGGTGGGCGCCATGGGCTTGATGAAAGTGCTTGGCGGGTCGGATCCGACCCGCAGGCCTTATTTTGCCTGCCCCTGCGCTACATTATCCAAGACCAGGCCTACAAGAATCACATTGAGCATTGTCAATATACTTGGCTCAGTCTCAATAACCTGTGAGATGGATAAAGGCAGGCAAAACAGTGCCATCTCTTAGGGTAACACAGACACCTGTCTTATTAGCAACTAGATCAAGTTTACGTGCCACACAACTCACTTTCACTCTCCTTGATATTTTTGTTGATTAATTTAGTCACATCTTTCAGAATTGCAGTTATCAAAGAATCTGATTTAAATTATTTATTAAATCAAAGGGATAAAGAAGTGCAAGTTCATTACATATTTACCACATGAGAGCCCACTTATAAAACATTTTTTCTTCCTATTCTGAACAAGGATCTCTTCTCTAGGTCATGAAATGAATTAAAAATTCTTTCTACACCTTGCTCTCTAACAGCAATGGCTGTACACTCAGAAAGGAGAAAAGGACTGGCTTCTAAGAACTATTCAAATAAACCTCATTTCTCTCTTCCACTATGGGTTATGTATTATCATGCTTACAACACAGTTGCTGATCCTCCTGCTTCTCTCTGTTGGAATAGGTGTCTTATTCTAGGACAAACTCTCTCACCAGGAGCAACAATTCATATAAAACCACTCAATTTTATACCAGACAGGCTTCAGCGCACATCTGTACAACAAATAACCAACTGGAACAATATGAAACAGGCAACAGACAAACCTGCTTTCATCTTACCGTGTTCTCGATTTCACTTGGGTTGCATAGCTTATTTCCTTCTCCTCCCAGATATCTTCCTCCTCCTCATTATCATCAAATTGTTGAATCCGTTCATTGCAGCAGGCTTCAAAAAGGGAAGCATTGGGCTGAAATACAGTTAAACAAAAATCAGGTTCTGCAGATCCTTGGAGGACAATCCTGGGGCAGAGTAGAATTCATAAAGCAGAAGTGACACAAAACTGTTCCACCTTTTTGTTGCGTGTGCGCCCAAAACAGGGAAATTTGGTTCAGAAGTGGAAGAGACAAAAGTCTGAATGAGGCAAACCCAGAAGAGACGTCAAAGGAACCAGTCTGTCGCAACCTCACTTGTTTCTGAACTGCTCCTGTGCCGTTCTGGTAGCCAAGTTTCTGCTTAATCCCCTGGCACAGGGAGGCTCTCAGCCATGAAAGGAGCACTCAGAGGTATTTCTCAGCACACCACTCAAGCTCAGTAGCTTGGACCTTAGAAAATAAGGGGACAGGGCCATGGACAGCCTCCTTTCCACACAGACAAATGAGCATCCTGCAGTGTCATCTCAGCCTCCTCACGAACTTCCAATCAAATACGTACCTTCTACAGAATCCCATTAAAAGCACATTGAAAATTGAGTCATATAAAATCAGTATGATACTCCTGAATTTTGTCCATGCACTTTGTGTATGACAGGAGATGCCTTAGCAGTAATCAAAGTCAAACTGCTCTGTATTTATATAAACAGCTTGCCAAGCCAAGTGCTATAGGATCTCTGCATTAAAGGTTTGGAGCACGTACCAGTTATGGGACTGTCCAAACCAAAAGCAGTAGTGGAATTTTGCCATGCAAAAACCTCTCCAGTCAGGAAAAAGAACAAGCTAAGCTAAGCATACTAATTGCTATTTGTGGTTGCAGTTTTAGTTTGCAGTTTGCAGTGGAAAAACAAAGAATTTTTGCAGCTGAGAACTTGTCTGAGCTGACAAGAAGGAAGGGGGAACTCGTTTTTCACAACACTGTTTGAGGGAAGACCTAAAGGGAAGTGTTTTTAAAACTAAGGAAATCAAATGCCATCAGCTTTGAACAGGACAGGGTGTGTCAGGGAACAGGTGTCTGTTTCTACCACCATCCATCTCCTGCACCTGAGGACGATTCAGGGCAATATTCAGAGCTGTTAAGGAACCCCTCTCTAGACTTTCCCCTCACTGGCTTCCTTTCCTATTCAGTCAGTGGAAAGGGTGACAGAGAGAGACTTCAGACAGCAACCAGTTTGCACAAAGCCTTCCAGCACTTACGCAGAAGTACCCTCTAGCGTGGCCAGTGACCATGTGCAAGACCCTGTCGAAGCAGAGGACGCAGGACCAATCCCGATGTCAATGCTCTGAGTCCCCTCTGTGGCTGCAGGCACTGGGGCTGCTCTTCCCTTGCCACAGAGAGCCCCTCTTCTACAAGATGGCGAGGGCAGCAGTTGCCTCATGTAGGCACTGATCAGCTGCCTCAGCCCTGTTCAACAAACACCCCCAGGCCCCACTTACACTGTCATCATCTGCATCTATGTTGAAGTTTATCTCCGCAATCCTGTCAAAAGGCGCACTGCAAAAGAGGGAGAGAAACCTAAATGAGGGCTGGGAGCAACATTTCTGCAGCCTCAGCATAAGACCAAATGCAATCTTTTTGCAAACTCAGCATACAACCTGAGGCAGCTGACCACACAGTAGCTCTGCAGCTTGACCTGACAAGCTCCTTTATTGTCCCTGAACACTTGTTGCTGTATTACCCCCTGAACAGTCATTGCTGTATTACCCCAAGACAGCAATTTCTTTACTCAAGACTTTGAGGGGAAGAATGACCCATCTTGCACTTCTGCTCCTCTAAAAAAAACATCACATTTAGGGTTTCCAACTTCTCAATCTTGTCCGGTTCCTTGGCACGACAGCTGGAGCTGCCTGGCTCACAAGGTATTATGAGCCCTCAAGGCAAACTAAGCAGGGTGGCTTGGAACCAGACAGCTACTGGCTGTCACATGCCAATATCTGCAGAGTATAAAGGCTGCCACCGAACACTTCTGTCTGTTCTTTCAGCACTGGAGCAAAGCTGGCATGCAAGGAAAAAAAAACTGAACTTGATCATAGTCTCAAAGGCTTGGCTGTATGGCAGAGATGATGCATGCTTCCCACAGCAACAGGGGAAGGAGCTAATGACCCTGCAAGTTCCTTACAGTTCTGTGTTTCTTTGGGAACTCAATGAATCTCCTTACAGAACCACAGAAAATGAGGGCTGGAAGGGACCTCAGGAGGTCACATCTAGTCCAACCCCTGCTCCAAGCAGGACCAGCCCCAACTACATCATCCCAGCCAAGGCTTCATCTACCTGGGTCTTCAAAACCTCCAAGGATGGAGATTCCCACACCTCTCTGAGTAGGCGGTTCCAGTGTTTTACCACCCTCCTAGTGAGAAAGTTTTTCCTAATATCCAACCTCAACTTCCCTTGCTTAATGGGAAATCTGATGAGAATCCAATGGAGGCTGGAGAATGGGCAGTGACTGTGAGCTTCCTATATAGCAGTGTTCTGCCCTTGGCAAATTGTGTGTAAAGAAACACAATCAAAACAGCTCATACTAGCAATGGTGTCAAGAGACACCATTACAAGAACAAAGGATACTATAAGTCCAGTATCCTGCTCATTAGTATGTCTAAGGGGAGAGGGGGGTGGTCTATCTTTGGTCACTGTTATTTATATCCTATTTATTAAGCTTTCTCCCCTTAAGTGAAAGACTTATGCTTGAATATTTTTACTATTTTACAGCAGAGGCACAACATCACCAACCCAGTAAAGCAAGGTTCAGGTTTTTATTGCACCCTGATTCATGGTTTTCACCAATGGGGAAGGGACCTCCACACTATTGTGAAAACTAGAATAACCGACACTGCAGAGACTGCTTTATTCTTTCTTTCCTCTCTGGATGAAAACAAGGGAATGGATAGCATGTTTCAGTTATAATTCTCTTTCAGTTTTACATTGCCTATCGCTTGCATGAGCTAACCTCCTCTTAGGACAGGTTTAATTTCTACTGAAAAAATGCACAAAAAAATTAGATTAGACCATAATCAGTGCAACTGCCTGACAGACTGAAAATGCCTGGTCCTCTTGTCCACAATTCTCAGAAAGGGGGGGCAAAAAGATTCTCTATACAGAAAAGGAGTTTTCTTTATTTAACAAGGCATCAGCACATGCCTGTCCCCAGATCTCCCCTGCCCCAATCAAAGGTAACTGCCAACATGCTTTCAGGGCAAGCTGCTGGCTTTTGCTTGACAGACATTTCAAAGATGGCACAAAGAGCTGAAGCTGTTACAACTGAGATGAAATGACAATTTAAACATACAGGTAGTTCACTGGGGCCCACAAACAGTGGTTTCCTCACTATCCTACACCTGCCCAGAGCTGCCAAAGACTCAAAGGGGTCATTTTGCAGCTACGTACTTCTCTGAACTGGCTTGCCGGGGGACAAGGAGCTCAGCCAGCTGATGTTTTTTCCACTGGTAATTAAATTACACAAGACAGAAGGGGAGAGCTCCGACTCTTTCACTATGATGCATAAGCAGGACAGTTGCAAGATGTTATTTATTTTAAATGACAAAAGCCTCAAAGCAGGCTACCAAAACTGTGTGGGGGTAAAGCTGGGAAGAGGCAGTTAATGATACACACTCTCTGAGATACGATCTCATTTCAGAATGCTGAGTTTGGTAAGCTTCATAAAATGAAACCTGTCCACCCTTCCCTTCCTTGGAAGGCGTGATCTGGCCCTGTCTCATTAATGTCCCCTTATACATATGGAAGAGTGGCTGGATGCTCTTGGGCAGTTCACCTACTGCAGGTCTTTGGTTTTCTAGTCCTCACTTGACTATAAACTTTTCTGGACTGAACAGTGCCAGCACTGTTGCCTGAATTTAGAACTAGCGATTTCTGATTTTAATTAAACAAAAACAGCAGGCACAGAGATAGTTATAAGACACAGCACCTTATTCAAAAAGAGTCTGTCCTTCACCACTCCTCTGCTGCTGCTTCTGCTGGGAGACTTCCAAGCTCCCAGCAGGGCCCTTGCAACTGGGTTTTCTGACTTGTTTCTTCTTAACCACCCTGTTACACTGAACTTACTGTTTTTTCAGGCCCATAACCAATCTTCCACATTTCTGAGCTGAGCAGGGTGGTGCATCCTCCACTGTAAGCCCTGAACCAGAGGAAGCAACTAAAGCCCAGGAGGCTTGCAGAGCCAGTAAAGGACTAACAGTTCCATTTATAATGGCTGAACTCACTTGATGTTGTCATCCTGGTCTGCAAACTCTTCATCATTGAAGCCAAACTGATCCACAAAGTTGGCTGTCATCTGCTGGAACTGATACTCTGAGAATGCCTGAGGGATGCAACCAGCGAAGAGTCACAAGTGTGCAAAGAAATCAGATTCAGGGGGTTGAACACAGGCACAAAGGGAGATGCTGTTTTTCAGCACACTCCAGCCACGGCTCGGTTTATCAGCTAGGTGTCTGTACAGCTGTAGTTTCCAATCTACTGCACATAATGGCCCTGACATCCTGCACCTGTTCTGACCCCCCAAGGTATTTAAGGACTCCTGTTCATACTTCTGCTCAGAATGTTACTCTGCTACCACAGGGGGAATACTGGAATACCCCGTGCGGAATCAACTCTGTTTCCTCTTGTTCTCAAGCGTTTTTCAAATTGTAACTGGGAAAAGGAAACCACTAGCAAAGGGAATGAAACCATGCTTGTAAAGCCAAACAAGTAGAGTGTAGGGACATCAGCTATTTCACCATTTCTGGAACCTGACAAGACTTTAGACTGAAGCCATCCACTTATTTTCCAGTGTTACCTTCATGCTACCAGCAAAACAAACTTTCTGGCTGGTTTTGGCAACCTCCCTTTTATCCACAATGCTCAAAAGGAGAAAGAGAATGCCTGGCGTCCTTGCTACACATTAAAAAGATGCTTTCACCACTGACTACCACCTCTGCAGCATCCCCAAAGCCATGAGATCTCCTTACCCACACAAAGCCCTACTGGTTTGCTGCATCTGCCTTTCCCTAAGCTCTGGCCCTCACTCCCTGCTCTTATCTAACAGTCCCCATGCACACTCCCCTCCACAGCATGCAATGGCCTTCCTATTATTCCTCCTGTCTCAAACTGCAATTATCAGGAGCCAACTTCAAATTCAGCATCCACACAATGAACAGCTTCTTTATTTGGTGCTCAGTGGCCATGTCTACATGAGATGCTGACTGTACAGTTGTTGAGCACAGTCATTTAATACTTGCATACCCAAGTACCAAATGACTGCGTAGTAACCAGCATTACAGTGAGTAGCATCCCCACACGGCTTCGCAGCAACACTGACTGTGCAGTAATTCAGTACTACTGCCCAGCAGCATATTACTATTGCACAGTACCGCTGCATCACGGTTCGTGCCACATGACGCTACTGCACAGTAGTAACGAGCTACTGCATAGTAAGTGTCTCGTGTAAACGTGGCCAGTTTGTACGCGAACACAGGATGTTGTGTTTGGGGGTTGGACTAGATGACCTCTGGAGGTCCCTTCCAGCCCTACTTCTCTATGACATGCTTATACCATTGGCCCACCTTCTATTTATATAAATAGTGCTGTTCTATCCAGATGTCCAAGCACCTCACAGGAGGCAAGTATCATTGCCCCCATTTTACAGTGAGAAAAACCAAAGACCAGACAGTTCACAGAGTGGGCACTGGGACCAGCAGGAGTACAGTTCTAGGATATTCAACCCTGTACAATAACCACCCTGCCTCTTAATTAATGAGCAGATCCCACAGGGCATCTCAGCAGAAGAGAGCCCTTCACTACAGTCAGCTTTCCACTCTGCTGCAGAAAGCAAGTGATATTTCTCCCAACTGGCCCTTCCTTCCTTGTCAAACATCTCTTGCTACCAACTAAGACAGACACAAGGCAGAGAAAGGGGCAGTCTGCATAAGAACAAGTTCAGGAAGCCTAATGACTATGATTAAAGGATGAAACCAGAGGAATGTGCTCCTCAGCAACAATAAAAAACACAGCATCCGTCACCTGCTGGAGGGAGAGTTCATTGGGGAAAGCGCTCTCAATGTCTTCATCCTCGCTGGAAGAGTGCAAATGGTGAGTGCTCACCTGAAACACAGACCACAATGAATGTCAAGGGGGCGACAAGAAAGCTGGCCACGTGTGATCATGGAAAACATCAGAACACATAACACCGCCACCAGAACTTTAAAGTGAAACAGGCAGAAGGCAATAGGCCCATGTGACAAAGAGAAGCACTTATTACTGTTCTCACCAAATCCACTGTATTCCGCCGGTTCGTCTCGGTCAGAGTCTCTTCTACAAAACTCTCCCACCTCCCTCTGCAATCCTCAGGTAGCTCTGGAACAGAAAGGCCATCGCCATGGTTAACATAGCTCGGGGGGGCTCAAGGAACAAGAATCAGTGCCAGCCACTGCAAAATTCAGTCCCACTTTCTCCCACGTTATGCATAACGTGTAGATCTTGCAGCCAGCCAGGACCAGTGTCCTGAGCTGCAAGCAGCTCCTCAAGACCTTTTTGCAACACTGTCAGTACAACAGGCAACATGGCTGTAATCCCTCTGCTCCAGCAGGCCCATTAGCACACAATGAAACATAAACATGATAACCCTTAAATACCCTCCCAGAAGCCAAAATGCTGGAAGGCAAGGAAGAATTCAAAAGAGAAAACAGAAGACAAAAAAAATGGGTCCAAATCTGAGAACGTGGACATTTAAGAGAAAAAAAAGGGTATGCTGAGGGTGTTACTTAGAAGTGTGGACAACATGGGCAGAGATGCATATCAGAGGACAGAGACTGTACAGCTTAAGGACCTGTAGAGTCCTTTCTTGTACCTGAGATACTATGTACTGCAACTGCTAGGTAATACACTCTAACATGTGGGCAGGTTTCAATCCTGGGTGTAGTAGGGCTGCCCCTGAAAACTGTCCAGAATGCAGCAGCCTGCCTTCTCTATGGGGCTGAGTCACCAGGAGCATTCAACTCCAGTGCTCTTTATCCAATAGCTTTCTGGGCCCAATTCAGGGTATCTGTTTTGACCAACAAGACCCTACATGGCCTGGGCCCTCCATACTTAAGGGACTGCCTGCTGGCTTATGCAGGACCATGATGCATCCTACAAGTACCAGCAGTGCACCAAGTCCACTTGAAGAAAAGGCATGGGAGGTCACTCCTGGCACTTCTCAGCTCTGGAACTCCCTGCCCCACAAAGCCAGCCACGGGGTGAGCCTGGATGGCCTTCGGAAATGGTGTAAGACCTCCCCGTTAGAGCACGCATTTAGCAAACAAAGCTAGGCTGAGATATTGTCTAGGGGAGTCTGTTTTATGTAGGTATTCCAGCTCCCTTTAAAGTGGTTTTGTTCTCTTGGCACTCTCCTGTTTTGTAAATTATTCCATCTCTTGCTGTAAGCCGCACCGAGTCTTTGTTAGGAAGGACAGCATATAAATCAAATAAGTAAATAAATAGTTCCAGTTTTAACACATAGACACCCAGGTGATTGGGTTCGACAATGAAGACAACTGAAACAAGGCAAATTTTTAAATGATCAAGTGAATTACAAGAGGAGAATAATCTGAGTCAATTATTGAATTTTTTGTCGCTGCTGCTGGAAAAAGATAAACAGAAAGAGCCAGCTTTCTGTAGATTACACCATTGATTCACGCACTGACCCCAAACATATTGTCAGATAACTGTATCAGGGGAAGGACCAAACAGTACATCCCTAAACCAGTTAACTGATTGTCTTTATATGCACGTGCGCGCATACATGCACACGGGAAAAGGCCATGGGAAAACAGGAGAGAATTGACTTTGAGGGGAGGAGAATTAATTTCTCTAACTTCTTCCTCTTTGTCCATCAGACAGCAGAGCCACAGTCTGCGTGTTAGTCACTCATATGTCAAATACATTTTTATAAATGTTTTGAAATTCCTTTCCAATTCATTATAATGCTGACACTGTAGTCTATAAAGTCACTAACATTTGTATCTGGTCAGCTGACAAGAAGCCAAGAAAGGGGGGAAATCCTCCTTTCTCTATTAATGTGTTTTCAAGAACCAACCTCATGGGGAAATTCTCTCTGCCTAGAGAGGAGAAGAACGGTTCTCAAAAATGTAGATCAGAGTCCAGCAAGATGCTCCTTGGCCTGTCTCAGACACCGCAGAGATTCAGGGCCTCTATCACCGTTCACCGCAGCCTTTCCACACCACTGTTCAGGCCCCACGGCCCCTGGCATGCTTAATGGCATCATGGGATCTGTTCTTCCATTCCAACAATTGGGCCTCCTGCTATGGCACACATGCATTGCATGATATGCAATGCTGGGATCATGGATGAGATCCTAGTCATGCCATTACTACTTACCAGTGAAGGGTGAGCCTGGGATCATGATCCTGGACTCCCCTTGCACCAGAAAGTAGAAAGCCAGGTGCCTGGTGACCCACTGTGATCCCGGGGCTGGGACCGCCAACAGGCTGACAGGGAGTCCCAGCCTTGGGACTGCACTGGGGCTGGTCCTAGAGCCGCACCACGCAGCTAGCATCAGGCTGCCCAGCAGGGACCCAGCCATACGTTCAACTTAAGACACAATGGAAACCGGCCAAAAGTGATTATACAGATTTTGTGGAATCATTAGGTGGCTTATTTCCTATTTTATCACACCACTACTTGCATGAATGTGTGGTCGGATTACTATTTAAGGCACGATTAACTGGCTAATTTAATATAAAACACTGGCTGGGGCAGGTCCTGTTTAGAGCAGGGGGTTAGACTAAAAGACCTTCTGAGGTCTCTTCCAACCCTCATGTTCTACGATTCTATGTTTTCAACATTTTTTCATTTGCAGATCCCTAAAAAATTCAAATAGA